GATCGCTGGAGTCGGCGAGATCGTCGCCGCAAGGCTCGCGATCGACCTCGCGGCTCTGCGGGCGACGACGCCGACGGAGACGGTGGAAAGCGGCATATACAGAGGTGTACATGTAGATTGGGCAAGAAGTCGCGCCGATGGATTATGTCAAGGGTGCACAAACTCTTTCGGCATCGGGCAGGGGGGCAATGGCCACGGATCCTCGGCCGCACGCGCGAACGAGATGCGCAGGCAGCAACCGGCGATAAATCTCAACTTTTCATCCCGCTCCTATACCTCGGACGTACAAAATTAGCAGATTCGTTCAAAGTGACACTGGGAATTTTAGATATAAATCGGGCGACTTATACAATCGGGGGGCGGGGGGGGAGGGCAAATTTATTCAGCTCGCTTCAGTTTCTTTTCATTGCCACGTGCGCGCGTCGGATTGGGGTTTGTGCATCGTTGGATCGTGTAATTTAATCTTGTATATAGGGTACATTTTGTATATTGTTAAAAGTTTGTGTGATATAAATGGTTATGTATTTACTATCGAGCGCGAACGGCGAACGGGGCACCCGCGCGTTTATTCCACGGGCGATCGGCCGATACGCGACGTGCCATGGTTTTCCGTGGTCCCGCGTCGCCGGGCGCGGTGTAACGTCGGAACGACGGAAACACGTTTGCACCTCACGAATGTCGGTTCCGGCGTCGATCCGCAGTCTCGCTCGGATCAATTTGTCCCGACTCGAATGTACATAACATTAAATTCCACGTCGTTTCTTTCTTCTCTTTTTTTTTCCGCCCGTTCCGTCTCTTCGCCCGCGCGCTCCACGTCGCGCCGCCGAACGGCTGCGCGGCCGAGCGGTCGCCGGAGACGGAGAGCCGTCGCGCGAATCGCAGGAGAAGCGAGTCGCGCGACGAGAGAAGCGACGTTCAAGGACAAGCGCCGTCGCGAGAGCTCGCCGCGGGATCTCTCGGGCGATCGTGAATCGAATTGCGCCGCGGCGCCGCACTCGCACGCGCACTCCGCGCGGGCCCGGAAACGATCGCGCGAGGAGCACGGAAAGTCCCCCTCCCCCACCCCACCCCCCGAGCGCCCCCACCCCACCCCACCCCTTACCCGCCCCATCCCGCCCGGCCGAACGGCACGCGCGCTGGACCGCGACCCCGGTCCCGCGCGCGTCTAATAGTTAATTTTGTTATTTCATTAATCTCGGACTCTTCGTAATCGGGACCCGACATCTGTATGTGGTTTCGCGGCCTCTTGTAAAATACAATTACACCCATGGAACACACACGCGCATCACACACACTCGTACGCGAACACGATTTATTAATTAATAAAAAAATCACAAGTTTTTAGAAAAAAAAACCTGAGGGGGAGACCCCTCGCCCGTGGTTGGTGTCGTTTATTTTCCCCGACCCCCCATGCGATCCCCACGATCCTCTTTCAGGTGTGCGATGGCGCGCGTCGACGACCGAGCGGACGCAACGTGAAAATTCCTACTGCGATCGTGAGACCGCGGGGTAAGAAGAGGAGGGAGGGGAGCACCCGGTTAATTTGGTTAGCGTTAGGCGACTTAAGCGGGAGGGGAAGTCGATCACGAAACCATTCCTTAACCGTCCGCTCCCAAGTGGCTGAATTAATTCGAATGATTCGAATGTTTCGTTTCGGCGCGAGGCCGGTTTTCAGCCAACTTCACGACGACGAGCGCGCGCGCGCGCGAACGAGCGAGCGACTCGACTCAACATTCTCCAGTCGGATAGGTATTTAACGGACGTACACGTGTCCGACCATATTGCGTTTGTGTCGTTCGATAAATAGGTGGCTAAGCAACTCCAACGGAAACCCGTGTTAATTAACGTTGAGTTTCAGGACTGATTTACGTGGCGTCTAATTAGCGGGCCTGCCGGCGACGTAGTAGGCATTTTGATTGGCCGCGCCGCGAATAGAACGCGGCCCGATTGGCCTTGCCGGCGTGTCGTATCGATTGTTTTCGTTTCTTCTCCTCTTCCTCCTTCTCATCCTCCTCCTCCTCATCCGTCCCGTTTCTCTTTTTGTTCCTTCTTAAAAACAAAGGCGGAATAGATGCGGCAAAGCGCGCTGCCGAAACGAGCAAGGCTTCCAGGCTGCGACGCAACGAACGATCGCGCGAACCCGCTTCCAACAAGCGGATCTGGGACCTTTAAAAAAAAATAAGGAAAAAGCGTTTCGAAATCATTCGCTTTTCCCAGCGTCCGCAGGTGTCGATTTTTCTCGTTAATTCGGATTGCTGCCATTTTTCCTTTCGTTTCGTTTTCGTAACCGACTAGCGTGACCGCGAGACGCGGCTCTCGTCACGCGAAAGTGAAAGAGAGGGAAATCTCTCCCGGCTAATTAAACCGCTCGCGTCGCGTCCTAATCTTTTATTTGCCGACTGTCTTGCAGGCGTATCAATTAAATCCGAGGTCAAACGGACGCGGTTACCGGCGTGCATCCCGCGCGCGGTCCGTACACGCGTCTGTTAATTATGAGCGTGTCGCCGTGACGTAATCGGTTAACGTTCTTTCGGCGCGTTCCTCTTTCTCCCGTTTTCCCGCGCGCGATTAACGCGCGGGCGTTAACGAGGCCTTTTGGCGCGACGAGAAAACTCGTAGGCGCTAATTCCCGATGCCCCCTCGAACGCTGAAAAACACAACGGAGGATAAACGCGGACTTCGCAATCGCGATCTTGAATACGGCGGCGCGAATGCATTTTGAAACGTCAGGCGTGTGCAGTTTCTTGAAGTTTTGCGGCAATTAACAGTCGACGGCGAATAACAAACTGAATTTAATTAATTGCATAACTGCGAGCGGAGGCGGTCCCCACCGGCTCCCCCTCCGCCCTCCTCTTTCCGCCGCTACCTCCGCCCAAGCCCCACACTTCTAATCGAAGCCGGGGTACATATTGTTGCACCCGTTGCGCTCTGCCCCTCATCAGCCCCACCGGCAATTAATTATAGCATTCCAGGTTAGCCCGGGAATTAATTACGTCCAGAAGTTGGACGCTGGCGAGGGGATCGTTAGAAATCGTCCTTCGTTAGAGTTAGGCGGGCACGGGTCCAGGTAATTATTGATGGCCTCCTATCAGGTCGCCCGTTGCGCCGATAACGCGCGAATCGAATTTAATGGGGACCCCGGGCTGGAGGGGAGGGATATACCGACACCTCGGACTTGTTGGGAAAAACTATGACAAAGGTCGAGCGCGTCTCTCGTTGGAGGATGCTCCTGCACGTCGGCGAGATTATTGGGACCTCGTTCACTCAATCCACCCGATTTTTTTCCGATCGGCGAGCGAATCGCAAACGTTGGGCGATCGACGGTTTGAGAAAAACTATGACAAAGGTCGAGCGCGTCGCCGGAGGACGTCCCTTCGCGACGCTCGTCGGCGAGATTATTAGGGCCTCGTTGTTCGTCGGCGACAATCCCCACGACGATCGGCAAGCGAGTCCGCGAACGAGATGCGATCGGCGGATATTTCTTGGCGCGACGAGAAATAAAAAAAAAAACTCCGCGCCCCGCTGGATCGCGCCTCCCGGGACTTGGTTTGATGACGACCACTTGTTCATCCACTCCTTAATCCCTTCTGCTTGTTAACACCGCGCTACGCTCTGCCGGCGGGACGCTGCCGGGGAGGCAAAAAGGGATCGTTAGCGCTCTCGTGGCTGTGAAATACGGGACGTACGTGTTCCGAGCGGAGCGCGCGGCCCCGAGTGTTTCGGATGGCGTCCGACTAATCCGATGTAGAGTTTTCAAAACGCGAAATTCCGTGCCGTCCTGCGCCGATAATCGGGGAACCGTGTAATACGGGGGGGGGGGGGGACGCTCTTCGCCGTTAACGCGCGACCCTTTTCGAAGCACCTGCCTCGCGAGATCATCGATAATCAGCTATTCGCGAGAGCAACAGGTTTAAAGAATAGATTTGCGCACCGACGTTCCGCCGGTTAAACGTGCTAAACGGCCGCGCGACGCCGCTATTACGTCATTACACGACGGCATTACGCGAATTGTGCGGGCGCGCCGTCGAATTTCTTTCCCGCGGCGCATCCTCGTGACGGACGGCGGGGTGGAAGGGCAGAAAGAAAAGGAAGCAGGGGGGGAGGGGGAGAGAGGAGGATGCGGCGAGACAGACGAGGGGTTGCGCGCGAGGGTGGATCGGTTGACACACTGGCGAGGCAATTATTATTGTGAGTGGTTGGCGACGGGACTCCGATGATATTTTATTTAAGAAACAATCGGGTAATAGCTCGCTTCAAGAGGATAGATAACGCCGCGAGCGCGCGCGAGACGGCTTCCTCCGGCCGACCGGGGAAAAGTTGCGGCGGGATAGAGAGAACGAGCTACGAGAAAAGGGAATTACGGAGGACGAGCGAGGGGCCCGAGGGGAGGGGGAGACGGCAGGCAGAAAGATGAGGGGAGGCAAAAGGTGAACTTTGAGACGGGCTGGTATCGGGGTAAGCTCTACATTAGCGAATTACCCGCGGGCGCGCGCGCGCGCGCGCGCCCGCGGGTCCCTCGGCGCTCAACGATAAATATACCGGGGCAATCCGGAAATATTGTTCGAAGGATTCGGGTAAAATCCGTAACAGACGGGAGGGGAATCGGCGAACCGTCGACCCGGGAAAAGAGATTGAGAGACTTGACCGTGGCCAGATTTGCGGGCCTCGATCGGTTTTGAGTCCTCGATCGCGCTCAAGGACGAACGGATCCCTCAGGGGGCGGGGGGAGGGACCCGTCTCGCTACGGCTATCTATCCTCACCTTTTCCGCGCCCTCGGCGAGATCACGGCCGGCGGTCGAGGAGGAAGGAGGCACCCGCCGATCGGAATCCGGCGATTTCGCGATTCGTGCGGGTGCGCATTCGCGACCGCGGCGCCCTCTCCGGGAGCGCCGGTGGAACTGACGCCGATTTACCCCGCCAGAAAAGTGAACGGTGGCGCCATCTGACGGTGGCGCGGGTGCGATAGCGTCACCCGCGCTGCTCCGCGCCAGACTGGCAATCCTAACCTGCAACGTTCTCCCCCCGGACCGGAGCGATAAAGTGTCCCCGGGATCTCTTCGCGAGCGAGGGACATGGCGGACGGCGGCCACTGCGTATACTTCGTCGAGCGCAAGAAGCGGTTCTGCCGCATGACGGTGCGGCAGGGCCGGCGGTACTGCGGCGAGCATCAGCGGGACGACGCCGGGAGCGAGAGAGTGCCGTGTCCGCTGGATTCCACGCAGCAAGTATTCGTTAGAGCCGCGGCGCGTTCTCCAGGCGTGGGTTAGTTTGGCGCTGCATATCGGTTGCATCTTTTCTTTCCCCCTTTCAGCACGTGTCACCGCTCAAGGCTGACGAGACACCTGAACGTGTGCAATACAAAGCGGAGGCTGGACGCGCGGCCCGCCTTCGTGGTCGAGGGAGCGAACTTGGACGACGAGACTATCGCGGCGCCGCCGCGCGTGCCGTTGTCGCAGCTCGACGAGTCCGTCGTGAGGACGGTGATAAGGAAGATTCATGCCGCCTACGGTACCATTTAATCATCTGATTGAATCTGTGGTATATTCCGATTGAAAAACGCAGTCCATTTTCCTACTTCTCTCACGTCTCTGTCGTGTCCCGTTTAGAAAAGTTGCCAGAGTTTTCTTGGATGATTCTTAGGCACGACGTGCTCGAAGAGAAATTGAGCGACGAAACTTGCGGCAGTAACGCTAAAAAGCACTTGCTCCAAAACGCATCTCTGCTAGGACTTCTGGAGCAAGCTGGTCTCGTGCGAGACAACACTTGCTTCATCGAATTCGGGGCTGGAAAAGGTAGAATACCTCCGCTGTAACAGTATTCTTTGATGTTGAATGAAGCAATTTCGTTTCTGTGTCGAATGAGTTGCGGTGAAAGTGGTAAATGAAATTCGTACTTTAAACAGCTCAGTTGACGTATTGGTTGGGGCAGATTATAAAGACCAAGTCAAACTCTTGCATCTTACTAGTCGATCGTTCTAGTCACCGGCACAAGAGCGACAATAAGCTCAAAAGAGAGAAGACTGGCCTCGTAATAAAAAGGATACGCGCCGATATCGCCGATCTGCAGTTGAACCAAATCGCGGAGGTCCAGTCAATCAAATATAAGGTCGGCATAGCGAAGCATCTCTGCGGCACGGCCACTGGTACATTCATTTCGTCAGTTGACAAAGTCAGTTGACACCATTTTTGCTTTATATAATCGACGTAATATGCTTTTTAGATTTAACGATACGTTGCTTGGTGAAGTCGATAAACGGCGAACCTGCCGTCGACGTGCGCGGCCTAATCGTCGCGTTTTGCTGCCATCATAAATGCGAGTACTCGTCGTACGTGGGCCGGGAATACCTGCGGCAATGCGGCTTTACCGCAGACGAGTTTCCCATTTTGTGCAGCATAGTCAGTTGGGCGACCTGTGGCTCTCGTTTAAAGAACAACGTTAGCTCGCCAGGTGATTCCATTGCGCAGCAGCGCGACAGCGCTAGCCTATCTTCAAAATCGGACGAACGCGAAGTTATCGGACGCAAAGCTAAAGCGCTGCTGAACTGGGGCCGCCTGGTATTTCTGGAGAGCGCTGGATTTCAGGCCGAGCTGCATTATTACACTTCCACCGACATCTCGTTAGAAAACATGTGCATCGTCGCCACGCGAGAACGTTCATTGTGACTGAAATATATCGTATTTATCGTCAACCTGTGCGTTGTCCCGAAAATCACTCTCATTTTTGTTACCAATAAATACATTTTCATATGAATTCAAATTTCGAATTCGTCGATATAAACATGGCTTCCAGGTAACATAGAGAATCTAAAAAGAATTTCCTTTGAATAATTAGTTTCATAACTCCCGGACTGCAAAATTATTTCATTTTTCATTCTATTTCTATTTTATTGTCAGAGGAAATTCGTTCTTATGTCAAATACAACAACAATTCTTTTTATAAACTCTCGAAGAATTCGCACTAGAAACTAAAGAGATCACGCTAATTTAAAAAAGGTTTAAATAATTCTCGGATCACCTATGCCATTTGGACAGTTACTATCTGACGGTCACTGCTTATTCGACTTGTCGGCTCAATCAGTACCGTGGATGTAAGAATACCAGGACGGAGCATACTGCCGCGGGGATGGTCCACAAAGCGTAATGGGCATGAAATGTCTATTGTAAAGGACATAAGGTACCAAGGTGGCATCACTCTATGTCACGAAAGGCGATATATTTTCACGCCCTGAAAAGAATAAACCTTTCACACATGGAATTCCAAGAATTTCAAACATCAAATCGCAAAAATCGAGAATTTAGAAAACCGACAAAGTATCAGGAGAACATGATCAGCAAAGAAGTGGCACTATCACAATTTCTAAGAATTTTGCAAATTTTCAGAAAATTGGAATTCCGAGAATTTCAAACTTCAAATTGCAAAAATCAAGAATCTAGAAAACTGACAAAGTATCAGGAGAACATAATCAGCAAAGAGGTGGGCACTATCTAAATTTCCAAGAATTTTTCCAATTTTCCAAGAATTAAAATTCCGAGAATTTAAAACTTCTATT